AAAAGCGGAAAGGAGTTTTGTTCAAAAATACTGCTCATGGCCTAAAACGAGTTTAATTTTTCTTTGCGAAAATGCTAATTTCACCCCATTTTGCAATGGCCCCTCGAGTGCCTGTGGAAGAGGCAGGGAGAAGGATGGCTTTTCTTAAATTTTATACTATGCTCTTTTTAATGAGTGTAGTTTTAGGTGACACACTTCTCCCTCCGCTCCCCACCAAAACATCATTGTACAAATAACCGAATATTTCTCACGCACATACCGATTTTCAGCTTTATGCAAATTACTGCAACCTTGAATACCGTAACTTGACTGGACTAATTTGGGCTCCACGAGGAAAATGAATATTTTTAGCAAATCGTTAATTAAACAATTCATATACTTACGATCTATACTTTCGAACACTATACCATCCGGGTTGAAACTCTTATAAGGAGCCAATAAGGCGTGCATGTCTGTATAAAGATCCCAAGTCGAGGGTGAGCCACCCGAGGGTCCAATCTCTTGTTTCTCCTTTCTGTTGAAGACAATGTGTGGAAATTATTAAAGACAGTTGTTTAAACCTATGTTACATTATAACGTTGTTTGGTGAATAAAAGGAGTTGCAATAAATAGTGCTATAAAAAGTACACCATAACCTGGCGCTTTGCATTTCAAATGAAGAGATGTGCGTTAGTATTAGTTTAGGGAAAATGTTTAGTTATTTGTACAATTATTTTGTGGTGTAGAGCGGAGGTCGAGGTTACTTGGCACCTAAAACCCCACCCATTAGAAAGAGCACAGCCCAAACTTTGAGATACCTTCCACATTAGCGGCCTCAGGCTGCGTTTAGAAAAAATAAACTCATAAGGCCAACTCCGGCTACGCCTTCCACAGTATTTTTGCGCACAACCCATACCGATATTTAAAAAAAATCTATATTTAAAACCGAATTTATTAATAAACTAGTGCTTGGAAATATTAATTAAAGTTCAATCCTTTTACCATAAGTGTGTGTTAAAGTTTTCGGATTCGGGTTAGGAGTTTGGAAAAAACAACCCAAAGCATTGTATAAATAACTAAACCGTAACCTTATTTTGTGCAAATAATAATTTCTTACCGGTACCGTGCACTCAAGTTATGCATTTTCCTCTTCAGTTCCTTCACCGGGTACTTATACCCGTGCTTCTCCAATTCCTGTACCATTTCCAGAAGGATGTGGCCGTTTTCCCTACAGCCACGCAACTCCTGCATTTTCTCTCCCCATAGCTCTATCACCGCCCTTTCACTGGCCTGGTCCCATTTGCTGGCACTTTTTCTAGATGCTGGAAAAGTTGCTAATTAAATATTGCCTAAATAAATTAAAATATTTGATGATGACTTACATTTTTTCTCCATCTTCGATATTTGTGGTACACAAAAATAATAATAAATAGCGAACAACAAGAACAAGAAGTCGAGCTGCCAAACGAATTACGAATGTGCCGTGGAAACAGGGTAATTCACGAATTACTTAGCGAACTACTTAGAGAGCGAATTACGAGTCGTGGAATCATCGTTTAACTCCATAACCTACTTATCACGTGTTTCGACGCATTTACGTGATAGCGCACTAAAAAATTAAGTGAACGGAAAAAATCGCCAAATGCGATTTCCTAAATTTTTAAGCGCAAATATCCAAAAATAAGTCGCCCAATCTGGACACTCTGTTAGCAGGTGCGAAAAGAGCGTAAGCATCGCATGTACGTATACAAGCGAGAGTGTAACGAGGAGAACGCGAAAGTCTTTTATTTTAAGACTTATATTATAAAAGTCTTGTCATAATAATAATCTTTGAGATTAATATTTTTAAGTCGTCAAAGACTTTTATTTTGAGATTTATATTATAAAAGTCTTTTGATAATAATTATGAGTGCGAAAAAACTTTTTAAGTCCTAAAGGACGGGGCTTGTTCAGGCCCATTCCGGGATTAGTTCGGGACTAGTTAATATGTATATAGTTCCGAACTGGACCCAAACTAAGCCCCAGCTGGGCTCAAACTACCCCCCAACTAGACCCGAACTGGACCCCACCTAGCCTCGTACTGGTCCATAACTAATCCAGAAATGGTCCTGAGCCCCGTCTTTTAAGACTTAAAAATTTGTTCACTTATAATTATTATGAAGAGACTTTAATAATATAAGTCTTAAAATAACAGCTATTGAAGACTTAAAAATTTGTATCTCAGCGATAATTTTATGAAAAACTTTTATTATAAATATAAGTCTTAATATAAAAGTTTTAGAAGACTTAAAAACATGTATCTCAATAATAATTATCATGAAAAACTTTTATAATATAAGTCTTAAAATAAAAGTCTTTGAAGTCTTAAAAATATTTATCTCTCCGATAATTATTATGGAAGGACTTTTGTTATATTTATCTTAATATGATAATTGACTTGATTAAATATAATATGATTGATTGACTTTTATTCTCTTCTCTTATAATAGCTATGTCTCTGCAAATTCTAATTTTAGCAGTGAAGTTTTCACGATCTACAGATTTATAGCCTTCTATTATGATGAAAAAGGATGCGATTGCTTTTCCACGCAGATATTTGCTAACTTTTCATATAGAAATTAAATGTACTTCAAATTTCTCATGAAGAAATTAGTATCCAAAAAGGCATTATTTTCGGAACCACATTTTGAACGGTCCGACTGGGATGCAAAATGAATTAAACACATTCTCACTTTTAGCTCACGATTGTTTATAGTAGTGCCCACCTCTGGTCTTGAAAAAGCTTCTCATAAAACCATTTGAGGTGTCGTAAAATTATGTGCCCTCATGCTTGTTTGTTAACATAAGGACGTACACCACAAATTGGAGGAAAACCTCGGTCAAATACTTAGCAAAAGTGTAAGCGCAATAATACATATTATATAATTAAACAACTTAAGTAAGATGACTATAGTAAAGAGAACATTTTATTTATTTACAAATCCTAGTAAATATATATGTATTTCAAACAAAACCAAATATTAAAACTATATAATAAACTTCGAGTACACGTACTCCAATGTAATTTTTTTTTTAATTTTAAATAGATTTCGTGGTATGTGTCTGATGTTTTTATGTATGTTTTCCCAGAGCGTTAAGATATTTTTGTTAGCAGCATTAAATTTTTTGAGAAAACTTACGTACGACTTAAGAGCTAATGCAGGCTTCCTTACATTAGTTTGCTTTGATTCACTTTAAACACTTGTTTGGCCAAATAGGGGCTTGGGTCGCTGTCAAAGTAACCAGCTGTGTGGTTGAAAAGCCTAAGTATCTTCCCTTTGAATTAAGAATTATTTTTCCAAAAATTTCAAGAAAATTAAATAAAAAGGAAAGAAATAAAGAAAAATTTTAGGCCTTCAATATTTTCAAATTTATTTAAAAATAATGTGGATTATTTTTGTATTTACGTATAACGTACGTATTGCTCGTTTACTACAAAAGAACACTTCAAGAGACAGTTGGCGAATAGTTTTTCATGGAGTTTTTCTGAGCGATATATTATACATAAATACATATGCTTATTATATATGTGGAAGCAGAAGATTCATTTTTATTTAATTTCGAATTACTTCCTTACTTATTTATCGAAACTTTTTTTTAAATAAGACATCTAGTATCACATAAATATGTATGTATGTATATCAGGGTAGTCCAAAAATGCACGGGAAAAAGTAAAGTCGGAATTCAAATGCCGCCATCCCCTAGGATTGTTCTATACCGAAAAAATATACCCCTATATTTTTATTCTGGAATCAAAAAAATATTTAGAGTGCTCAAAGCGCTCAAAGTTTTTATATGGGGAAGAAACAACTTTCCGTATAATTGGGAATCTCCTGAAGAGAAACAGAAAAATATTGATCTTCAAGAATTTTATACCATTTCTACGAAAAGTTTTTTCCCATATAAAATACATACTCTTCATTCCTTTTTGATTTAAAAATTTGCCTGTTTTTTATTTTATGCGATTGAAGCAACGCTCCATTTTGCCAACCTTGGATACATTTTGGTATCCATATTTTAATTAATTGTTAACAGTTGTCAAAGCGAAGCACAACTACATTAGGCCAGTATCTTTAATGAGCTATTGGGAGCTATCATTGAATGTAAATATCTAAATTACATAGAAAGTTTAGACATCAAGTTTTTATCTGAGAGTAATGTACTTTTGAATAAAACTTCAAATTCGGCTCTATCATGCTTTGTCGACGTCGACGTCAATATCATTTTTGCATAAAAAAAATAGTCCTCGTAAGTCCAACTCCAGCTGGAGTTGGACTTACCGAGGGCTATTTTTGATGAAAAAATTACATCGACAGCCATAATAGAGCCAATTGTCTTGGTGTTAATAAATGATGGTATTACTAAAAATACTGACCGAAATATTATGTCATAGACTGTACCAATCTTTATAGGATATTTACTGACAAATGTGCTCTCAAAAATTGTTTACATTTTTCGTCCACCAAGCCGCAAGCATTTCTTAACGCAGTGTGTGTACTAGAAATGGACGAGGGACTATATATTCATTCCCGATCCCGCCCATCCCAACATTCAATTTTTATGTCCCGACCCCGCCCATACTGTCGTTTTTTAGATAAATTTTAAATAATATGTATACTTTCATCATATTGAAACATCTACCATATTCTGGTTATTCTTTTTTGCTTGCCGTTTATATTTGTCTCAATATAACATTAAATACTGTTATTTTCATATTACGTCTTCTATGAAGCTTTTCTAAATTTCTGGAAGTTGATGGTTTTATCGGGACGGACGGGAAATGATTTTTTTCCCGTCCCGCCGGCAAATTTTAACGATCTCCCAGATACCGTCCATCCCGACCATTTTAAAATCGTGGATCCCACGGGTCTCAGTCTCCCACGCCCATCTCTAGTCCATACATATATGCAAATGCATACGTATGTATGCATGTGTACGTGTGCCTGGAGGGGGGAGGGGGGAATAAAAAAACAATATGTACGTATCGGTATGCTTGCAAATAAATATATCTTTGTATTTTTGTAACTAATGTAGTATCTACAACATCAAATGATTATATTCATTTTCATTTTATATGTATGTATAGTTATGTATATTATTATTATTCTTACCCTCCAAATGTCATTATACGTATGTATGTATTATGGTTTGTAGTTAAGTATACTTTATAACCTTAAATAGTTCTATACATTTTTCCACCTAACAATTCACTTACATATATCCTTTCATGACACATTAAAATATGTTGCATTTAATTGTGTTTTTATACGTATTTTTTATATTTGTTTAATAGTACACAGTTATTTATTTGTATACATGTATGCACGTACATATAGTATGCCTTGCAATCCACAAACTTTAACAATTAACATTGACTTTTTTTCACCATACTGTTCTGTACTGTTACTAAAGAACAACTTTAAAACATAATTTTTAATGAATAATTTTTTCTTTGGCCCCCTAAAGAAACTTAATAAAAATGAGAGTCAAATCTTTACCAAACAAAAAAAAATACAAAAGCAGTGACAATTTCTTAAAATGGTAAGTAAAACTTAAAAATAAATTTTAAATTTTAGTTTGTGTGTGTGCTTTTTCAACAGGCTAGTAGCTATACACACTTAAACACCTGAAATTTTTCACTCACACTTTTTTATATATGCTTCTATGTATTATTATTATTATATGTATGTATTTCTGTACATTTATGAATGTAAGTACAACATTATCCCTGCAAAAAGTGGGACTAGGTTAAACACTGGTACAGGACCACGAAACCTTGTAAACTACCCTAGTAACCAAAATGGTCCAAATATATGGAGAAAACGTGGTTACATTAACATTGCGATGTCATTGGACCTGACCACCTCTGGTCCAACGCTGCATAACATGGGACCAATTATGCTCCTCCGCTGCATAACATGGGACCACCTAGACAACTACTCCTTTTGGACCATGGCACATGTGCTACGAAGAGGTGGTGCTCAACACATATATCAGTTTTTTACGATTAAAGAGGTTCAGGTCAGCATAACAAGTTACTAATATGAAGCCTGGCCCTTTGCAAATACATTAAAACCACGACCACCTGGTCCTCAAATTTTTGCAGGGATGTTTTAAATAAGTTTTTTCTACACAATTAATGTATGCATTATCTAAGTATGTATACATATGTACATATATGTATAAGCCCTCAGTGTTAAGGAAAGTTCCGGAAAAATTCTTAGAAACTTAATATGCATATATGTATTTATATAGTTGCAGGTATGATATCCTAAATGGACTCAATATATCTTACATTACGAAGATAACTGAATTTATAAGAGCGTATGCAAATATGTATGTATATATGGAAAAAAACGAATTCTTTATTTTTATTTTTCTGCGAATTTAGACTTAAATTTTTTATGTGATTATGTGCTTTCTAAATGTTGTAATTTTTAAGTATATTAGAATGACCCTTTTGATTGTAATTAGTTCAGAATACATATTTATCTACATAGCATTCATATGTATCGATGGGTAAAAATGTGTATATCAGTGTTGCCGTTTTAAACGTTACTTGCTTGACCCTCAAACTTTAAGTATCTGTTTAAGTAGAGAATAGAACGAAAGGGATGTACATTAGGATGCATCACTAACAAAAGTTGCGGGTTTCCACCGGACCTAGTTATTTTAAGACATCCGCGAAAATATTTTGGAAAAGCATTAAGATTTACGTGAGCTAGACGTTTTGAAAATACCCCCAAAAATCTAATTATTTTTGTTATCGGTTAACTGTTTTGCAGACCTTTTAAGCTTAAACTCACAATTAACTTAGGGGAATTTTCGAGAAAAAATGTTTTTAAAAACCAATTTTATTTATAAAAAAAAAAAATAAAAAAGTTGGAGGTATTTTCAAATGGGTCCAGCTCACGTAAATGCTAATATTTTTTCCAAAATACTTTAGCGGAAATCTTAAAATATAATAAATTTTACATATGTATGTACATACATATATTACCGATAGAAAAACATTACCAACATTTTTGTATATGGAGAATGTGAAAATTTTAGGGATAAAATGAACAAACTTTTATTAACCGACCTCAAAAAAGGAGGAAGGTTATCCATTCACTTTGGACCACGTAAACCGCTTTCTCTTTAACGGAGTATCTCAAGGTTGGTCCCATACTAATTCGGTATGATCAATGGATCATGAAGAGTTTAAGACAAGCACGAATTTTTGTATGAGCATTGAAGTCGGTTACATTTTTTGCTTAGAAATTACTTATTTTGAAAAGGTATTTTACAATTCAGTAGAAATATGTAATAAACTAATGGCCTTATTAATAAAAAATAAAGTAGCTTTATAAAAGGTTTATAAATTGAAAAATGTATGAAAACGTCAATTTGTAACGCTTTTTAAACATACTTTATTTTTTATGAATAAGGCCATAAGCCTATTTTTCTGTTAGTTCAAACTAAAGGCTTTGTGCAATTTGGCACAAAAGAATGGATCTCACACATCTTGATAAGGGTCGGGTTTCTTTTCCTATATACGACTTTTAAAATCATAAGCATGTACATATTTACATACTAGACTGGCCCCGGGAAAAGTTTTTAAGATTTCTTGTACAGGATTTTGGCGCCCTAAAATTGTCGTCCTTGACATGCCCTAAAAACATCCAAATTGGAGGTTTTATAGTTTTATTTTTTTTTCTTGTACAATTCAAACTTTCTTCGTTCATATGGGGCTTGATCGGTTCTAACGTGTAGTCTATATACTAAAAATCACTAAGGGAAATTAAAATTTTTTTAAGACCAAAGTTTTATGCTACAACTAAAGTAAGTCAGCGTTTCTTTTTAAAAATTTGTTTTACAGATCTTTTGGTCTAAAAGTTATAAGCTTGAAATAAGCACTGACCACGTTACAAAAATCTTACGTTTCCTGTAATTCAATAATTGTCCAATGCAAAAATGGCTTTAAAGGATTATATACAAGGTGTTAAGCATCGTAATATCGTAAGTCTCAAAATTGTCCAATGCAAAAATGGCTTTGGAGGATTTCCAACTACGGAAATGTTTTTGCACTGATTAATTTAAATATATAATTAGCTTTTATCATACACAGTGAATCCTCTAAAACCATTTTAATCGTTTATTTACATAGAACAATTTTAAGGCTTAAGATACATATTACGACGCCTAAGGTCGAGGCCACGCAATGAGCGGCGCCATACAAAAATGCCGCTCAGCCGCTCAGAAATGCCGCTCAGTGCGTGGCCACCTCAATGCTATTTCATATGTTTTAATTTTAAGCCGCTCAGCCGCACGCCGTTTTGCCAACAATGTTTGATATAAGAGTTATTGCTGTTGCACACGTACCGGTTACTCAGCAGTCGGTCGGTTGGTCGGCACAAAATAGAGTAAGTAACCGGAAACCGGCTTTTGTGAAAGCTCTAAATGCTGCCGGGTAACCGGGGCGAGTGAAACGGCACTTACATATAAGGCAACGGCAACACTGCTTCTGATTAGGGCACACATATTTTAAGTATGGAGATGTCTGAAAAAAGTTATGTTTGCTTTGTAATAAGTTAATGAGTTATATCAATAAATACCGTCAATCTAGTTTAAGTATGTATATGAATATACATACATACATATATGTATATGGAGAAACTCAAATGGGTGTCCGCATATATATAAATTTTTGGAATGTGTATGATTCGCAATCTCCCTCAATGTTGTGCATGTACTTTTTATTCAAAGTAATGGCGTGAAAACTAGTGTTACAAATGCATACGTATAACGAAAGTACGATTTTGGTTGGTAAAAAAACAAAAGTGTGCTTGCTTTGATGATAAGAAACCAAGTATATAAAGATGTTTTAAGTCCCATGTGCGTCGTAGGTGCGCTACTACCTCGAATAGTTGAATGGTGTGAAATAATCATGCTCGCTGAAGTCTTTTCCACAAGCAATCCCTCTTTAAATTGGATTAATACGTAAAAAAATAATCAATACTTTTTCAACTGCCTATTGAATTTGTTGCATTTGTATTCTATTTAATGTTTGCTTAGAACTTGTTTTGATTATGGAAAACTGTGCTTGCTTTTCTATTGAAACTCTGATTTCTGGATGTACCACCTGCTTATACTTTGGCTTTTTAATTCTGTGATGTGTTGTTTTGTTTATTTCGCTTCGCCTTCTTCATGTGTTCTATGGTTTGGAAGTTGGTTTTGCTCATGACATGTCTACTTCATTTTTCGATCCTCGTGCGCTTTTTTCACTATAGCCAATTTGGAATGTGGTGAAGCGGGTGAGAGTGTACGATAAGGCGCATCTTTGGTGCCGTGTAAAACAAGCGACCATTCGATTAGCCAGCCAGAACGTGGTTGCGGCGAGTTGAAACGCGCCTTCACGAATAAATTTAAATAAAATTATTACTACTAGAAAAGTTTTATATTTTTTAATGCATACCTCCAATTTCCATGTACCATGTGGGTATTCGCCCCATGAGTGTGTAGTCATAAAAGGCCATTTTGTAAATCCGTCACGATGATCATCATCATTGGCACGTCGTGATAATATCATCGATCTGAAAGATAGTCCCATTGATATATTAAAAACACAAAAAATTACAAAATCTTAAAACTTAGGAGAAATATAATAGCTCATTCTTTAAATGTTAATTAAACTTACCTAGTGCCCATCGGTGAAGTTAGAAACAATTCCAGGTCTCCTCGTCGTGTGGCATTAGCTGAGATTACTGCCTGCACGTGCTCCAAATAATTTACTTCCGTGTCTGTTCCTTTGCAAGAGTCTGTTTTTATTTCCAAAAACAGTGATCGACCGGTATAAATAGCGCTGAAATAAGTTAAATAAAAACGAAATAAGTTTTCGTTATGAAATCTTAATTCAAATAATCCCATTTATTGATTACTTTGAGGTTTAAATAAAAAAAAACGCCTAAAACACCTTGAAAGTTTGTTGTAAGTAACAATTTAGAAATAGTGATGTGTGCGTAAAATATATGTACATATCTCGCAATTTCTTTCATCTTATTTTGAAAGTTCTACTACAACATTTTTTAGTTCCGACACTAAGCTGCTGCACATATGTATTTATTGTATTTACTTATAAGTACATATGTACATACATATATATAATTGTTATACACCGAGTGACAAAAACAAAAAAAAAAACAAAAACACATGAAATTATTAATATACTCACATAAATGGAATGACAATCAAATGGGTATCAAATGAAAGAGAAACTTCTGTAGATTTAAAAAATAGTAAAGCTTTTGTTTATTCCAACAGTGTTAATGAGTTTTGTACCACGACTTGTTTGATAGGAAAAATGAAAAAACAACAAAGTCTTAGCGGTAGAAGTTATAGCAGCTATTTCGGAGATCATCACATCTAGAAAAAAGAAGTCTGATGAGCAGAGATTTACCATACCCATTTCTCCTTATGCATCAATAAATCTAATTTTTTTTTTTTAACTCTGAAGAACTTTCTCTTTTATTTGACACCCACTTTGTTATTCCACATTGAACTTAATTTTTGAACTATATTTTTTAAATTTCGAAGTCACAGTTTTACTATACTTTCCCATATTTTCGAGAATATGTTCATATTTTTAGGTATATATATTTAAAGGGGGATGGTTTCGTGCGGAGAAGTCCACGTAAGTGGGAAATACTTTTGACTGTTATTCACCTGCGAGTGGCTCAACTCGCAGGTCACTGCGTCCAGATATTTATATCGTATCCTTTGGGTAGCGACCAAACACCCGTTTGAGAGCGAGCTAAAGTGAGTAGTTGTAAAACCTCACGTGCGCTAGGTTTGAGTCTCCACGTTAAAGCCCCACCCAATGAAAAGCAAAAACATGCCTGAGATAAGACCCCCTTCTTTTGATGACAACCACGGCAAACGTATAAATGACTATGATTTGAGGGTATGTACCTGCAATATAGGGACCCAAACCTAGTATCTAGGAAAGGTCTTCTGCCCGGCTGATTGTTGTCCTCGAGTATATAAAGCCTGGCATCACCTCCATCTAAGAAATGCTATGGACGGGGCAAGGCTTGGTAAACAGTGTTGCCAGAACTTTTTGGATGAACCGGCTAAATTGGCAAATAAAACCGGCTAAAATGTTTCAACTAAATTTCACATGTTTTATTTAAATAAATCACGAGTAAAAAGACTATTTATTGGAGAGAAGTTACAAATTCGAGCCGGAAAAAATTTTGCCAGCAAGAATTTGCAATTAGGAAAAAGATATGATTGTGGCATATGGTTGGATTTTTTTTCGACGATAATTTGAATAAACAAGTTCGTTCAATTTAAAAATTTACAAACTGGAGCGATTTTAAAATGAAAAATGTTAGTTAATACTTGTTTACTTAATTAATTTACTTAATTCCAATGATTTGAAAGGTACTCGGAAAAAAAATATTTATTACTATTACTATCTGATATTTTGAGTGATAATTCTCGCTGGATTTTCGACGAACAAACCTATTATCTTCCCTACAAGGCCTTTTCAGACTGACCGATTCTCAATACACTCAAATAGAAACCAATACACATAAAAAACGCTGTAAAAATTTTCCTTCAATTTTAAGGCAGTAAAACAACGACCTTAAGTTAACATCAACCGAGGCCATATGTGTACAAGGGATGCAAAATCACAGTTACACAAAAGAACTGGTCAGATTTTTCCGAAATCCCTTCAATTCTGATGTAAAATATGATGCTAAAAGACTGCAGATCTCCCATTTAGATGGCCGGCCATATGGCCGGAAGATGTCTCGTAGGATTCCCCGCGAGTTTTGCTTTACATAAAAATTTGTGCTCTTTTATTTTTATTTTGACTCACTTCAGTGTTGGTTCCTTTAATTCAAGATGGCATTCGGTTTTTGGAATTTGAATAAGTTCTCAGCAAAAACGTCTGTTTAAAAAAATACATATGTGTACATAGTGCTTGAAAATATCAATTTTTCCATTACCCTAAACCTTTGGGAGTGGGCAAAAATTATATTTTTTATTTTAGGCACTATCGGTGCTATCTGGGAAGACAATAGCTACATGTAATATTTATTCTGTTTGTTGGCACTATATCCAAACACAAACACATCTTAAGAGTCTTAACAGTGAAACAATTTCTTATTTTCTAAGTTTGCGAATAAAACTTCACACTTAAAATTAAGGCATTTATAAGAAACATTTTATGAAGAAAATCCCTTCTTCGTTTAAAATAAAAATAAGCGAAATAGGCCCAATTTCATACAATCCTGCCTGACATGAAAATTTTCTCCACGATAAGGCTAGTAGCCATTTCAACAGATTTTAGGTCGCTTAGTCAAAAATGGAAACATATATATATATTTGAAATTTAAGAGATTTAACAAGGCAAATAGCAAAATCGGCTAAAAACGGCTAATTTTTTTCTGCAATGCGGCTAACAAATCGGCTGCCGGCTAAATCGAAATTTCACCGGCTGTTTGCTATCGCAACCGGCTAAATCTAGCCGGAAAACGGCTAAAATGGCAACACTGATGGTAAAGGTGCAGCCTTGCGACGTCTACCACTGTTGCCATGTAAAGGAGCGCAGATTCGGTGTTAAATTTGTAGCGGGAGAGAAACTAATTCGCCGAGTACTAGCGTTGTACCCGAACGTCTAACCACAATTCGCATCACGCCCAGGTTCTTCAACATCCCGCTCATCTGCGTCGATGCCCCGACGGAGCTAGGAGTGAACATACGAGCGCTTCCACCGTTGGAAAATTCAGCCTTTATGAAGAAACGTTCGTCTTGTTGCACTTAAAACACGCGAGGTGGTTGCATGCAGCAAAAAATGTCCCTCCAACAACGCAAGGAGAGCTCAACGTCGCAAAGCCGCAATCACAGAACTAAACATAGAACTCTAACATCTGAACGTTAATTTTTTATTAATTCTATTTGTCTTTGGAACCCACTTCCTATTAGACTGAGGCTACTAAATAATACACTGCATTGCAAAAAAAAAAATACTAGTTTTTAATGTAGTTGATATATATAAACCATAATATTTTTCCAATGTGTGTGTACATACATAGATATTACCTTTCGTAGAACCTTATTTTGCAAAACAGCGTGTGCTTTAGTTTTAAAATTTAATTGTGTATAGTACTGTGACTAGCACTATAAAATAATTTGTTAAATTGTTGTGCTAAGATTAAACATCGAAATAAATCCAATTACAGCAGACAGGCAATGCATTCGCCACTCAATTCTTACACCTGCTCTTAGAGAGCACTATTCTACCAACCCACATATGGGTGCAGTGGAACCACATTTCCTGCTCATTACTGCCACCGAAGAAGTAGTCGAATTTCAATGACCGCCACATCTGCTTTTATGTATGAGAATTTCTTAGATGTATTGATTACCAGTAGTAGTAGAAGAAAATGGGTCTTTATTTTTACTATGGGAGCGTATGTAAGCTGTAAACTTTAAATCCGTTTCCCTTGAGTTTTTCATTTTATAAATTATGACATTCTTGCAGCAAATAAGCGGTATAATCTCTATAAAAAATGGGAATTTATACTCACTGTGGTTGTAGTATATCGCCAGCTTCGCAGTGATACCGCGCAGGGACTGAACGCCATTCTTTGGCTAGTGTTACCATTGCGCCCGCATCCAAAACGCCAAAGCCAAATAAGTGATTAAACTCCAAACCTACACCGTTCATGGTCCAGTGAAATCGATTTTTAGCGTCGAAGAGAGAGTTGCGCTTTGAGGTTAGCACAGTTAAATGCTGAATGTCGCGCCAAGAAAGCAGAGGGCTACAAAAGTTAAAGGTAAATCAAAAATTATCGTTTTATATAGCAAGTAATTTAAGTTTAATAACTTTGCATGTATTGGGTGTTAAACTTAGCCTTGAATTGTTTATAATTGCGCCTATCACTCCTCGTTTACTTCGTTACATCTCCTAAATACTTGGAGCATGAGAGTTTAAGACGAAACATGATATATACAACAGACTGCATCACTCCCCATACAAAAAAAAATCTGTAATTTGTTTCCATTGCAATTATAAAATCTTATATTTTAAGGCTTCCACCAAAATATTTCGGAAAAATATTATGATTTACGTGAGCTCCACCGATTTGAAGATACGTCCAAAAATGGAGTTTTGTATGATTAAAAATAGTTTCTTAAACATTTTTTTGGAAAAACTTCCTCCAAATGACAAAACAGTTAAAGCTTAAAAAATTTGCATAAAAATAAATTTTTTTTTTTAATTTAAAAAATTTTCAAGGGAATCGTAATAATGAGATTTTTGATGCTGTATTTTAACTTTTTTAAAAACATTGGTATAAGAAAAACTTGACTAACTGAACCACAACTATTCCGATTAAGACTTGTAAGGTATCATTGAAAAGGTATCACCCTTTTTATTCCTTTGCTAATAAACTCATTCAAAGGATGAAAGAGAACGGTAGGATGAATGAGTGTCATTCCAAGTTGAATTTAGATAACACATCGTATTTCAAAAAAAAAAAAATCGGGATGTAAATGGTTTTTTTTTGCATAGAAATAAAAAGAGTGGGATAATATATTTCCACTAATACCCCATAAGTCTAAATCGGAATGGTTTTGGCCTAGTTATTCAAGTTTTCGTAAATAAATCTTTGAAAAGAGTTTAAAAACAGCATCGAAAATCTCATTATTACGATTACGATTGAAAAAATTTCTAATTATTTTTATGCAGATTTTTTAAGCTTAATCTGTTTTGTCAACTGAGGGGAGTTTTTTCAAAAAGGTATTTAAGAAACTATTTTTATATTCAACACTATTTTTATTCATAAAAAAAAACTCCATTTTTGGAGGTATTTTCAAATCGGTCCAGCTCACGTAAATCTTGTAATTTTTCGGAAATATTTTGGTGGACGTCTTCAAATACAATATATTTTATAATCCCGGAGGAAAACCCGCAACTTTTTTTTGGTGATGCAGTCCAATGTACAAGTATTTAAAGGTAAAGCCAGCCGTAAGCTCAACTCATTTATTTTTTGATGTTTGTCTACTTTCAAATATTTAAATACTCAGAGCAACTCAAATGCCAAATAAAAGTAAAATAAAAAATAAATATTCAATTTGAAAATATGTTAGGTTAGCAAACTTCGAAAATGCTACCTCTCAGCCAAGCTCTCAGCGGTTTTACCTTTAACCTTCCTTTGATAACCCTACTCAAAGTTGCTGAGAAGATAACCATACGTCTGAGAGACGTATCATGGTTTGTTTGCCTTATGAAAATTTAAATATTTATTTATTATTTAAATACGTTTTATTTAGAAATATTCTTCATTTTAAACGGAAATACCACCGATTTCGATTACGTCACGCAGACGTAGGTTATCAAAGAATGGTTAAATTTTTGTATCACGATACAGCCATTTGTTCCAAATGAAGTCTTAAAAAAATATTTTTTAGCTTTCTGAAATTGTGTTGCATGCCACAAAAACCATTTAGTAGCAGTAGATATTTGATATTTTTTTTTTCAAATTATTTGGTCTCTAAACTGTAAAACATTGTTAATTTTTTTTGACAAAAAATTCTTAATTAGCAATATGTACATATTTGCATGAGCATCTTCAAAAAAGCGAAACAGAATTGGGCGGTTATAATTTTTTGTATTTCAAACTAATGAGCATATACATACATTGGCTGGGTGGTTAAAAGTATATGCTACCAATCCGAAGGATCTGTGTTCGATCCCTGATCCGGACAACATCTAAATAAGAAAAAGTTTTTTCTAACAGCGCACTATGGGGCAGCGAACGGCAAAAGCTGGCAAAAAGTAAAAATTTCAAACCGGTTTTTAACACTTTTTGCTTATTGTTATGGTTTCTTAAATATTCCAGCAACAATAAACAAACTAATTTTGACAGAAATCCTTGCCCCCTTCTTTTCACCCCCCTTCAAACTCTTCAGTTTTTTTTCGCTAGAAGTGCAAGGTGAATTTTCCGCGTGTTTTGTCCGGAATTGAGTGAGTATTTTAAAGACGCAAAGTAAACAAATACAATGTTTGCAATGGAACCATCAACATCCGGTATTTATAGTGATATTTGTTCAATTAGTTTGTGTGTAGATCTAATTTTCAAATTTTGGTCGATTTTTCTTTGTAATGTTACCTTAGCATGTGATTGTTTCTAAAATGTTTGAAAACAAAGGCAAAAAAGTTAGTGAATCCTGCTATATCGCCCTTTTTTTTGTTAAATTAAAATATGTATATTAAGGTCCTATTATCAAAAGAACCTTCCGCGTTTTTTGCGCAAAACAACTTTATTCGTGCTTTTCGTACATGTGTATGATGAATTTGCAGTAGTTTGGTTGGCAATAACGGACCATTTTTACTTTGTTTTGATGTTATCTTCGGCGAATGTAAAACAACAAAACAAACTATTTTGCCTTTTTTTATTGTATTTTTGTCTATATATGAATTAGTAAACCAGGGTTGCTCATTACTAAAATTTGGAGTTTAATAATTATATATGTTACGAGCATGATTTAACTTTTTATTTCAGGAGCTGGTTTAAAGACTATTTTTATTGATCGCAGGCAACTAATTCAAATACTTATATCTTACGAGAAAAACGACATTGATGAAAAATTTATATATTTAAAAAATGAATTAAAAAATCGGAAAATTTGTAAAGAAGTAACCGAAAGTGAAATAAATAAAATATTGACCCGCTTGGAGTCGGAATTTAAAATTCGATGGAATAAGTCGCAGCGAAAAATAGATAGATTTTATCAAGAATACAAAATCTGGCTAGATAGTTCAATTGGATTTGTAAAAACCTCGAATCGTAAATGTGGTCGACCAGAGACATCTTTCGAAGAAAGCTCTGAGCGGGCAAAGCGAATGAAAACTAAAGATTTGAGAGATTCTACTGCAGTTAATATATTGACTTATGCTACTGAAATAAAGCTAAGGGATTCTGGTACGGTGGAGGAATCAACATTTTTAAAGGAAGTCTCTTCTGGCACCCCTTCTGAAGAAAATACATTTTTAAAAACTTGCAAATCACCAGTCGCTACTGGGAGTACTCGGTTGTCAGGGGAGGATGCGTTGGCAGTTCTTATAAACAAGCATTTCATGGCATTCCAGCTTCTGACTCCGCTGTTTTCATAACGAGTATCATACCGATTCGCATTGTGTCGGGCGAAAAAGTCATTTGGCAAAACCCTGCTCCGTCTTCAACGCGCTATTTGAAAACCGAGTTTATTAAGGAATCAACAGACGTTTCTATAAAGGAGAAAGACAAAGTTAGCAAAGAAATTTAGAACATAGAAAAATCTGAGATGATATATAATGGAAAACCTATTGAAGTAGAGCACACTTTAATTTTTACGATGATTGACGGAAAGCTTTGTAATGCGATTACGCATACAACATCAACTCAAAAGAGATATTTGTGTGCAACATCTAAGGAGTTCAACGATGTTGAAGAAATTATCACCCGCGAAATACAAACCGGTCATTTCAACTTCGGTTTGTCGATATTGCATGGTTGGATTCGGCTCTTCGAATGTCTTTTGCATTTGTCTTATAAACTTCCAATACAAAAATGGCAAGTCCGTAATGAATTGAAAAAAACGATTGTAGCTGAAAATAAAAAGCGGATACAGGACGAATTTAAAACTCGTTGCGGACTAATTGTTGACGTGCCTAAGCCAGGGATCAGGAAATCCAAATGACGGTAATACCGCGAGACGATTTTTCAGTGAGTCAGAAGTATGATCTGAAATCACCAAATCAGATGTACATTTGATTGAAAGAATGCATAATATATTGACAACAGTGGCAAGTGGTCACGAAATTAACGTCGAAAAGTTTAGCGAGTATTCGCATAATACTGCTAGGTACTTTGTCGCCAAATATCCTTGGTATAACATGCCTCCAACACTGCATAAATATTTTATTCATGGACCTGAAATAGTTTCGACTGCTTTGTTACCAATTGGGCAGCTTTTAGAAGAAGCGCCGGAAGCTAGCCATAACGAATTTAAAAGGTATTAAGAACACCATGCAAGGCAATGTAGTCATGTGAGCACTAATATTGATATATATAATTCATTCATGCTAAGATCCCATCCTCTAATCAGTTCAAAGAGAAAGATTCCAAAGAAAATTTATAAAATGTTACCAACAGAGGTACTAGAGCTATTAAAATTCCCTGTTGTTTATAATAAGGATGAGAAAGATACTGGTATTGATAACGATGACAGCGATCAAAGTGAAATTATTCCAGATGATGAGGGCGAGGATGATATGTAAATCTTTTTATGTTTTATTCAAATTATATTTCTTTCAATTTGTTAAAAAAAAACTATTTAAATACCAAAAAATAACAAACAAATTTTGGCTATACCTGTTATCTTTTATTTTCTTAAAATAGCAATGTGAGTAATAGATGCCGCTTTGATTGTGTGACTGGTTAAAGTAAATTTGATTAGGTTTGATAACTTCGGTTATATGCATGACACTTTTATGAAATTTTCAAGAATCAGTGTACAAAATTTTAGCTCTCTAGTTTTAGCCGTTAAATTGATGCCAACTTTTAGGTTATTCTGTCCCACTGTGCAGCGGTCGTCTCTGGGCAGGCAATGTCAAACCTCTGAGTGTATTTCTGCCATGAAAACGTTTCCTAAAATATCCATTAGCCGTTCGGAGGCGGCGAAATACAAATACTCGTATCGAAACCCAATACTCTCTAAAAGTGATTCCCCAATTTGAGGTAACCGCTTACCTTTTCGTTTACAGAATGCATTATTTTACCATGTGCATGTCAATGGAGGTAATCGAATAAATGTAAAATTTCTTGCCTTTGCATTACATGTAATGCAATGGATAAGCGAAAATTTTCTTGAGACGACTTGTATTGCGTTACTCTATTGATACAAAAATCAGTGCTTCCCAAAAAATGAAAAGTTTTGCTGGGATTCGTTTATAAATAAACACCCTGCAGTGAAACCCCAAACTAGTCAGGAAAAATACTAGTTTAGAACTAGAATTTCCTGACTGAAACCAAACTAGTTCGAAAATGCCCAGACTTGGACCAAGTACAAAACGATTTATTCATGCCCTGTTTTATTTGACTTCGATAGTTTAATAGAATAAAGTACACACAATATTATAACTTTTGTTTGGGTGTACTGTAAACGATTAAAGCGTACGTATTCAATTATACCAGACTTGTGAAATAATGGTTAATCTTCATAACGATTATTAATTAACCGTTTAATGATTAAATACCGATATTACTAACTCTTTAAGGATTACCAATTAATTACTTAAAAAATGTTAATTAATTCATTAATTTTAATTACATCATTATTTTGTTATTTTTGATCATTTTCAATTATTTTTATTATTATATTATTATAATTATTTGATTAATTTCTATTATTAATCACCAAGGCAAATTATAGACAAATATTAAGAATATTTGATAACTGCTTGAATTATTTATTTATTGTATTCTTATCGAAATCTCAAATTTTAAAAATTGATTATTACTTTTATAAAATTTTAAAAAGAAAAGACTGAAATGTGCAAAGTTAATGAATTTAATTTATTTTAATGAACAATTTTATTTTATTTTATTTCACTCAAAAATGAACTAAAGTACTCAAGTTATTTTTAACTAAAATGTTTTCTTTTGCATATTGAATATCATTAAAAAAGATAAAACCTTAAACCTTTCACTTTTAATAGCACCTTATGAAAAACGCATTTAAATTTATGTTCGAAAGTTTGAGATATTTATGTATTTATTTTTACTTTTAAATAATACTCAAAAAATTAACACTAATTAATGGCATATCTAAGGTTGCTAAAAAAAAAAGTGTAATATATTAAAGTCTACTTAATCAAAAGTTTTTCATTGTAAATTCATGAATTCATTTTATTTTTTGACTCCCAAAGTAGTAGTTTTGGTCCATAATTGGTCTAGTATTTTTCTGTCTATTTTAAACTAGTATGAGACTGGTATATTTTTGACCGAAATCTGACAATTGACATCTCGTAGGACATCCCCATGTTAAAAATACCAGTTAATTGCATGGAAAAAAGATAGTTGGCTGACTAGTTGGGCATGAGGTTCATAATAGTTGTGAGGTAGTTTACAACTAGTACATTTGACTACGGGCATGTGCACAACACATACACAAAAACGGCACTCACGTACACAATACGTACACAAAAACCGTACTACACTATCTCGCTTTGATTTCGGAAATTGGATAAGTAACATGCTGTGTTGCAGACGAGTCAAGACGCAATTAAGAGCTCATTTTTTATGCATTGGAACCATACTTAACGACGGCGTAAAATTTGCTTTTAGCATTTAGAACTTTACATGAAATTGTTTCGCCATGTTTTCCTAGACATATGTATATACACTGAGGGAAAAAAATATTAAAATCAAATAGAAACGTAATTGATCTTACTATAAACGTCAACGAAAGTACTGTATATTGGTAAATATTCAATTCAATTACGCGCAAATTAAAATGACCGCGTTCGTACTGAAAAAGCATCCGTGAAGTGAATAATCAAGACAAAAACTTAAAAAAAAAACCCGTCCATCTCCGATATCAACAGCTTGTGGCAAGCATATTTGCGCACTCAGCTACACCCAGCTATATAAATCTGTTTCCAAATGTTGAATATCCATCGACACCACAGCACGCGATTTGTACGGATAAACATGTGTCTAATATGTATGCATGTGTGTGTTGTCACCGCTCTGAGAGCGGCGCTCTGCATGCTTGGCATGCGTATATACACGTACATACATATACTCAGATGTGAACAGTCAAATACGTGCGTAATAAATTTTGTATGAAAATATTATTTTTAAATGCGAACATTTTTAAACGATAATCAAATATAAAGTATTCATTTTTACCATGCATTATTTCTCTCAGTGTAGTATTTATATCTATAGTATATTTGCATAAATTGTAGTTGCAAAGAGTTTTTGAAAACCAATAATAATAATAATTTGTGCTAAGAGTTTGGCCGAGTTCATCGACCAATTTGTGAAATGGATTTTACGAGTTATTCGCGGCATTTGATGACAGTACGAAACTCATTGCTAGGTTAGTTATGTATTGAGCCGGTTGATCCATACAGATGCCCACTTTCAGCCGCAGCTACTGGCGAACAATCTTCACTGACTTCAGTGAGCTCTTAAACCGAATAAGTTGGTGTCGCCCCAACGAAGCTGCCTTCTCTTTCTTTCGTGGTAAAAGGCTCCACTTGAATTGGTTACCGCATCTCGTACATTGATTTACCGTTTCGGATCGAGTATAGCGGTACAACTATAACTGCCTAGGAGAACGACTATATCCCATTGCTTAGTAATTTACCTGTTTAAAAATTACCCTTCTCAAGTGTATTTTATTGTTGGAAAGTGAATCAAAATATAACCACATAAACAGAATAACCGATAACCATACGGGTGTGAAAAAAAACCAGTTATTCTATCATCTATCGTTAATAATAATAATAGGTTGGCGCTTACACAAAACGTTAGTGTTTCGCCGAGCTTCTCCTTCAATTTGTGGTGTGTGCCTTGATGTTGCCAATGTAGGTCCCAGATTTGCGATGACTCCGAGAGGCGATTGAATTTTTATGAGAAGTTGGTTTTTCATCTAAATATTGTTATTTGCTATAAAACCGGTTTCCAAGCATACATCTTTTTTGTAAAAACGCTGTTTCTACAGCTGTATTCGACACCATATAGCTCACTTATTAGACTACATAAATTGAAAAAATACTTATCTGGAAGTCATAGAATTAACCAACTTCTTTTCTCGGGACATTCTAATGCATTCTTATAAGATTTTACGTTTACACAATTTACTTACTTTGCTTCAAGTGCCAGCGCAAAGACCCCGGCTGCTTCTGGGGCTGCAGCACTTGTTCCTGAATGTGTAGTTGTACATTTCCCATACAAATCAGTCGTGGCCACACCAGTGTTAGGATCTTTGGCACCGTTGCTAAATGTGCTGGCCAGCGTTGAACTACAGCTCTCATCGTAGTGTGCATTTTGTCCATCGTTAATGGCGCTGTTAATGGAAATCGTCCACATGGAGGCTGCATAGCCATCGCAATTGCAGTCGTCCTCCTCCCCACCATCTCCTGATGCCCATACGTAGATATTGCCTAAACCATTGCGACCCTGCGGGAGAACAAATGATATTATGTCGATGGTAATGAAGTTAGCTGGATGTCATATGAATGTACTAGTCAACTTTCAACCATCTACATAAATATGTACGTCTATATGTACGTACATTACTAGACACATTAAACCATATACGTACATACATATATAAATCGATTATAGGGTGTATCAAAAATTTCCGCAATAATTGGTTTCTGCCTTAACCACATATCTAAATTTTTTGGGAAAACTAGTATTACTGCTTATAAAACTAGTTTAAGCGTCAAGCTATTTGAAAATAAAACAAAGACTTAGTGTGTGTGCTCACAGAAAAATTAAGTGAAAAATGCGTTTATTGTATTCTAGGCGAAGAATAACTCTATCGCAGATACGAGGTTAACGCAGAGACGGAATGAATTTAGTGTAATTTCTATTTCAAAAATAATGAAACCTTGGCTGCATGATTTTCATCATTATGACTTCGTTAATCGCTATTCGCATTCACAAGGTGTCATTAGTGTTGCCGATTTAGGGGTAGAGACGTCTGATGAGCATTCTTTTTAAAAATGAGGCTGGTCAAGCAATTACTGTTACTGGTTCTCGGTGCAAAAAAGTGTGTATTGCCAGCAAAGCCGAGGAGGCCATTTTACCGAAGTGCTACTCCATGCATAACCCTATCCTCTGTACTTTATGTTTCAATAACAAAAATAAAATCAAAAAAAACAAAAAGCTTTACTTTCTCTATATTTCGAACTTTGCGTAAATATTCGCTAGCGACTTCGAAGCGTATCTACCAGGGTTAGAACTTCGACAAAGCTAAGTCGGACTAAATGAAGTGAAAAAGCGTAGCAGAAAATGAAATTCCGTAGTAGATATCTTTTATGTATATTGGCTCGTCATAATTTGCCTTTTTTTACCTAAAAAAAAATAAAATAATGTATAACAATAGCCTTTAATCGTGTCATATACTACTTGGCATCTAAATGATAGCAACGTAAAAAGTTTCCATATTTATTATATGTATATTTCCTAAGCTCCTGTTTTTTTGGTGAACGTTAGTTAAATTTTTTTTTTAATAGGCCTCCTAAAGGGGTTAAAACAAATTATTGCTCGGATAATTTCAGGGAGTTATTGAACAAATGAAGCACCAAAAATTAAAAACAACATGTGTTTGAAGACAAAGATATACATACCTTCTAAGTCAATAAAAATCAAAAACTTAGTAGGCCAAGGCGGGATAGAACAAAACTGAGAATGCGTTCTATCAACATTTAAATACTATTTCATGGCCTTATAAAACTCATTTTTAGAAAATGTCACAAGTTAAAAAATTACATACGTAGAATGTAATTGGAAGCCAATAACTTTTTGACCTCTTTTATTTAAAAAAAAAGTGTAGTTTTTTTTAGTGAAAAGTGTTTTTGAAGGCCACGTAAATTTTAAAAGCTACTTGAAAAAACGGCCCTAAGACAATATTTTGAGTTAAGATACTGCAATAAGTGCTGTTTATTATTTGGGAAAGAAATCCGAAGTAGATCATGGGTAAAGCGGAGTAGCGTAGTAAAATTCTAATTTTCGTCAAAAACCGTAGCAAATCTAATACGATCGTAGTGAAGTTCTAACGCTGGTATCTACGCCTCCACTGCAGTATGTATTTGGCTTACCTCATTTACGCCTTGTACTATAGCACGCATAGTGGCATTACGTGGTCCATCCACTGTTTTACCATCGTCGGTCGGTCCCCAAGATGCGCTGTAAATGTGTATTTTGTGCGGTTCATGCCCCATCGAGTTGGCCTCGATTAAATCGGTCATGTAAGGTTGGTCCAACATGCGAATGCCTATGGAAGGAATATATGTAAGTAAACGTTAGTCTAGGGTATATATTTAAACATGTGGGTTTATCTTAATAATGCATGAACGCTTTTGTAAATGTATGCAATAACATACATATGTATGAAGGGTTGTAATGTACTAAAAATACATACATACTAGGTATATACATATGTACTATATATGTACATATATGTATGTTTACCGACATACCGCGCGGTCCAAACAAAAATCTAACTTAATTATACCTTTGCAAATAATAATTGTAAGCATCCACATATTATCAACATTAGTTTGCTATATTACTGATCTTGATATATGTACATATGCATAGGTATGTACATACTACAATTACACATATCCCCGGCTTAGAGTGAAAAGTTACTAAATACATTTTTACAAATTTTACACGAGAGGAAAAAAACGTACCTATACTGTAGCGATATATGTATACATATGGGCAAATCTGAAAAACAGGTAACCTTTGTGTTATTTAGCATTATTTTCACTGTTTTCTAGACTGAAAATTTTTTCCCTATACAAAAATTGGACCACTTTAATGTATATACATACATATATGTTTCGAATGAAAAAAATCATCATGAAACTAAAAAACGTTTCGAATTTGCATTAACAAAATCGGTTCATAAATAGGGCTTTTATCGGGTTCGTTTTTCGCAAATGCATTTTTCATCATGCAGGTAGCTTATAATTTGAATTTGAACGAAACCGGTTCATAACGCCACCTAGAGGTCCTATTTTTGGTAAACGTATTTGCCATCATGCTACCCAGCAAAAAATCGGTAATCGCTTTTAGTGGTAACGTGTTCTGGAAGGCATAGCGTTATAATGCCTTCGAATTTTTTCGCTTCTTTTAGGCATTGCCGGTAATGCAAAGTAGAATGTCCTACAATATTTTATTTATTTCGCTTCTTTATTTCATTTCGGGAAATGCAAAGTAGAATGTCCTATAATATTTCTTTTTTAATTCGTTTCTTTGCTTCATTTCCGGGAATGCAAAGTAGAATGTCCTACAATACTTTATTTGTTTCGCTTCATTGCTTCATTTCAAGGAATGCAAAGTAGAATGTCCTACAATATTTTTATACCCGAGCGCACTTGTGCACAAGGGTATTATAACTTTGTTCACATAACGGTTCACACGATAACTGGAGTAAAAATTAAGAGGAAGAAGGACGGACCTTCGCCCGAAAGAAGTACATGTGCCAAGTTTCGTTAAGATATCTTAATTTTTACTCGAGTTATCGTGTGCACAGACGGACGGACGGACGGACAGACAGTCACCGCTTAATCGATTTCTCTTTTCATCCTGATCATTTATGTATACATTTGTCTATATCCATCTCGATTCGTTTTGCCTGTTACAAACAACCGTTAAATGAACAAAGTTATAATACCCTTGTGCACAAGTGCGCTCGGGTATAAAAATTTTCAATTCACTGACGAAGGGGGGAGGATCTATCCCCCCAAAGCCCCCCCTGGCTACGCCACTGTATGTATGTATAAAAGTTGATTTATAAATATTTTAATTAATTTTAATCTTTTAAGACATTTTCTGATTTCAATTTAATATAAATAATTATGTACTTATCTAGGCATTCTACATTAGTTTCTCCGTAAGGCATTTTTTGTTCGCTTCTCTGGATTCTGTTTATCCATGCGTTCTCCCTTCGTTTTAGGGTAATGCTGCGGGTAAGGGCTTACCTCCAATGACATGCCCATGTTAAAATAAGGCCTTCTTGAAGCGAAATGGTAAGCGATTCCCATCGCCTAGCTCGTTTCCACTTTCGTTTCTGTGGTAATCGTGTTTTTTGCTGGGTGGTAGCTTACATTTTAAATTTAAAAGAAATCGGTTCAAAAATACGATTTTTATAAATAACTCGACTGCAGCGCCACCTAGCGGGTGTATTTTTCGTATACGTATTTCTCATTATGGAAGTAGCACACGTTTTAAATTTGAACGACTTTTATAAATAACTCGACCCCACCCCAGCGTTACCTAGCGAGTTTTCTGGTAGGCTATAATAGGACAATATATGCAAGGTATAACCTCTGAAAATTTGACTGAAAGCTATGCAGTAGTTTTTGAGTTAACTCCGAACAACGAAAACGGCCATTATTTTATATATACAGAATACTAGCCGGCCACGGATGCGCGAGGCTTCGACACGCGCTGATTGTATGTACATTTACGTATTTGGAGAAAGAAATCATATTTCATCATGTATTTCGTTTATTATATACATAAAAAATCTTTTCTAAATCCGTTCAGTAGCGCGGCTAAAATATCTCGTCTTTCCTTTATACCATGTATAGAAGATAGTAATTTTAAATAGGTGGTAACCCTACTCAAAAAACTTAAAGTTTTTGTATGTGCGAAGGCCATCAACTTCCATTTAGTATCTTATTTTTTTATCCAATGAACGGCGAAGAGCTTATAGTTTTTAAACAGATGGCAACCCTGCTCAGAAAAATAATAATTTATTACACATTAAGAGGCTAAGTCTTCTCGTTTGACAGTGACGATACATAATGCACACGCTTATTATGATTGAATTTAATAATTTTATTAACAGGTGGCAACCCTATTAAAAAAAATATTAGTACTTTTCTAGAGGCCAATCCCTTTCATTTCACACCTCATCTTTTGTAATCCAACGAACGGTACAGATGTTATAGTTTGTTAGACAGGTGGCCACCCTATTAAAAGTAAGTAAAACAAGTAAGAAAGTCTAAGTTCGGGCGGAACCGAACATTAAATACCCGGCGCACGTATTAAATATATGTTTTTCACCTTACCGAAAGCTACCGCTACATGGTAAGCCGGGCGTATCAATTTTGAGTAAATTAGAGTCCTTAGATTTCGAAATTTTGAAGTTTCAAGCAGTTCTGAAATTTACCGTTATATGAAAAGCGGCCTCAATTTTAGTCCGCTTTCAATAATTTTCAACGTTTTGCTTTTATGTGGCAAGCACAATAACCATACCAATTGGTATAACCCCTGCAGGGAGTGACGTTAGCTTATACCTAACTTTAGTCTGTTTACGTTAACACTTGTGCTAACTATTAACTGTGTATTTTGTTCGAAAAAAGCTAACTACTTTTGTGGGGCGATGGCCGCAAAAAAGTCAGACCTGGATACCTCTGCATTACATGTCAACTAACTTGTAACTAACTACTTTTGGACATAAAATATCAATGAGAAAAACAAAATATTTTTTTGTTTTTTTACTTTTTTATTTACTTATTTATTTACTTTATTTTATTACATTTCATATTTGTTTACATATTCTGCTCTGGGTGGCCCCATATTCGAACACCGTCAGACATAACTTCAAAATGATAGTATAAAATTTCGATCTTCCTTTTATTTGTCCTGAATAACGTGCGGCAGGTGGCAGTTTCAAAAACATCGGTTCAGCCGCTCTCGAGCCTTGCGAAAACTAACAAACGGCTTTCTAAATATATATTAGTTGAGATGTATTATATATTATAATTATATTTTGACAGTATCCGTTGTTTCTGATTGGCGCAAAAAAACCTTGCCTAGTGACGAATTCGCCCCTTGATATGGTCGTTACTTAAAGCTATTTATATTCGAAACTGCATGAAAATTGGAAAACAGGAATCTATAAGCTTATCCAGGCAAAAAGCTACCTACGTACCGAATTTTAAGCAAATCGGACCATAAATACGATTTCTTCGAACAGATCGGTCCCTGGTCCACCTCTCGGACAAAATGGATCATATATGCTAATATATGCTAAAAAGCTACCTACGTACCGAATTTTAAGCAAATCGGACCGTAAATACGATTTTTTCGAATAGATCAGTCCCTGGTCCACTTCTCGGAAAAAATGGACCATATATCAGAATATATGCTAAAAAACTACTTACGTACCGAATTTTAAGCAAATCGGACGATAAATGCGATTTTTTGGAATAGATCGGTCCCTGGACCACTTCCCGGAAAAAATGGGTCATATATGCTAATATATGCTAAAAATCTACTTAGGTACTAAATTTTAAGCAAATCGGACTATAATAAGATTTTTTCGAATAGACTGGTCCCTGGTCCACCTACCCGAAAAAAGTAAAATTTTTTTAGCCTAAAACATGGTGGTTACCGAAAGCTATTTGTATACAAAATTTCATGAAAATCGGACCAGCCGTTCGCGAGATTACCTGTTACAAAAAAAAAGGACTTCTCTTTATATAATTAGTATAGATATATTAGAGTGGCTCAAAAAAGTGTTTTTTTGGAAATTCATAAACGCTACCTCAAATTATTGTTATTTGTGATAAAAAAGAGAAGCGTGTTTTTTTATTTTGAAAAAAAAGATTTCTTAGAGGTCGCGCTGGTCGGTTTTTTATAAAAACGCTGATGCTCTCAATTTTTTTATTTTCTTGACATGTTTTAAAAAGCAGCTAAAAATTTGTTTTTTACATATAATTACTCTCGTATTATTAGGGAACATTCCCTTAATTACATACCTGTCTTTTGCAGTTAGAACGGGGCTAGTGCCCGAAAATATGCTCTGGAAAAGAGACTATTAAAATTAAAACGTTGATACTGAACGATTTACGCATTGTCATGGATTGGAACTTGTTACCAGGGGGTTTCTGGGGTTGCTACTTACGAATCGGAAGTCAGTTTTTCGAAATTCAAAATGGCGGATCCAAAATGGCGGTCCATTTTTTTTTAATGATTAGATTTGTTCGAAGCCCGGCACCCGAGAGTTTTTGGGGTCGCCGATTACGGATCTGAAGTAAATTTTTTTAAATTCAAAATGGCGTATCTAATATGGCGATCAAATTAAAAAAAGTACTGATTTTAAAACGTTGATACTGAACATTTTAAACATTGTCAAGGGTTAAAACACGTTTCCAGTGGATTTCTGGGACTGCTGATTACGAATCTGATGTCAGATTTTCAAAATTCAAAATGGTGGTTAAGAGTTTCAAACAAATCCAATCATTTTTTTAA